CATAACTAAATTTATATATAGTTATGCAAGGGTTTTAGCTTTAATGAGGAAAGACTTTATTAAACTTAATGGAAATGATCTATATTGTCTTGGCATTATGAGGTTTGCTACCCATTTTTTAAGCCTCCAATATTTACTTAAGTTTAATAAAGAGCTTTAACAAATGTTTACTTGCATGAAATGAGTAAAATTAAGCCATGGTAAAAGTAAAGTTGGAAAGGAAATAGTTGTTATAACTTTGCAAGATAAAGATTTTTGGCTTTAATATGAACATATAATCAAAATTATTAAACTTTTGGTATGAGTTCTGTAATTAGTAAATAGTATTAAAAAAAAAATCAACAATGAGTTATTTGCATGAAGCAATGGATAAAGTAAAAAAAAAAACCATTAAGACAAAGTTAAAAGATAAAGTATCTCAATATGCACTATATATCTAGGTAATTGATCCATTACTTAATTTTAGAATCTATTTTAAGCCTTATTTTTTTTTAAAAAAGGAGGTTACTTGAGCTTTGCTCATCAAAAAAAAAAAGGAGGTTACTTGAGCTTTGCTCAATACAATTATTAGATTAGTTTCTAATTATGATACTTTAAGATGCAATTAGTGGCCAACTTGAGGAATATAACCGGTGATTTTAGCATGTAGCTATTTGTCAAAGAAAAAAGTTAAATGTGAATAATAACTTTTATTGCTTAATTTTTTTTTAAAATATAAATGTTATTTTGTATTTATAGTATCTAATTTATTGAACTTTTATGTTAATTACTGGCATGTGAAGCATCTTGTCAATGATACTCTAAAACTTTAAAAGTTTGGAATATGAGTTCTTAGCTAGTGTTCTAGTGCAATTAGGTGTGAGAGAAATTTGAGTATATTTGAATTCATCTATTCTAAAAGACAAAATAGACTAGAACATAAAAAACTAAGTAATTTGATCTTTGTTCATTACAATTTAATAATTTAACAAAGGTAAAATACAATATTATCATATTAATAATAATATTAAAAATAATAATTATTATTTTTATTAATATTTGTATTATTTTTAAAAAAATAAATTTATCACTAATATATATTATTTATATTTATGTTGTTTTCTTTCATGTTTATGCTTTATGAGAATTTAAGCAAAACAAAAATTATTTTAAATTTTGTTAGCCTTAATAACATTAACCTATTAAATAAGTGAATTTGTGAAGAACAAAATTTTTTTTACAGAAAAAATATAAATTAAGTGAATATTTAAATATTTTTTCTATGTTGACTTTAGATAATAAATATATCTGTTTTGATAATAAAAATAAACTTATCAAAAATGATGATATATTAAAATATTTTATTGATGACTTTCATAACATATCACTATAAGATTAAGATCTTTATTTTTAAGTTAATGGTAAAGATAATACTTGATTTATTTATTTTTATACTACAACATTTGACTTTATTAATATTTTAATATTTTGTTTATGTTAAATTATTTAGAGTTTAAGTTACAATTGATTATTTAAGAAAGTTTTAAATTTTAAAATTATATTTAAGATACTTCAAATTATATTTATATTATATAATTAAAGTTAATTTATCTTAAAATTAATAATATATATTAAATTAATATTTTAAATTATATTTACACATATTTTTAGAATGTGGTGTACGTGTTTTTTTAAATTTTAAATTTTTTGGATTTTTTAGAATGTGGTCTACGTGTTTTTTTAAATTTTAAATTTTTTAATTAAAAATTATATTTTTTATATTTTTAGATTATTTCGATATATTATTATTAAAAATAATTTTTTTAAAATAAAAAATATATTATTTTAATATATTTATAATGAAAAAAGCATTTAAACTACTACTAGAATCGCAATAGCCAGTGTCCTTAAAACGCTTATTACGAGCAGTATAAAGCAGCCATGACTTGTGAGATCTAAGCTAACAGCATCGCATCATCCAATCGACAAAACAACATGGTGAAATGACAAGCTAAGCACTGTTTTTGGGCTTCACTTTCTTTGTAGAATCTGACAACCCCAGAAAAAGAGCTTCAATCTATGGTCTCTGAGTAAATGGCGTCAACTATTTTAACAAAGAGTCTATTGGGTCATCGCTTGATTCATTCCTCCTTTTCTCTTTCCCATAAAACCCCACAAATCTTTACTTCTCTCTTCCCTGTGAGTGACTATCTGTTGTTTAAGTACCTGGGTTTTGCTTAATTCTATGATTATTTATCTGGGTGTCTTTTTTTTCCTGCTTTTGAATTGGTGGTAGTGTTGAATTGTTGATTGATTCTGGATAATGGGTTGTCGATTTAGTGGTGAGAAGTAGGGTTTTTGAAGTGTATATCAGCAGTTTTAGTGATTGGTTTGGGTAACTTTTGTGACTTTATTATGATTATTAAGTTTGAATTACTTGTGTGGAATTTTATTGGTGTATCAAGATGAGAAACCTTCAATCTATTAGTGTTGAATAGATGAACTGATTTTAAGTCTTAAGTGTGCTAAAGTTCAAGCATTGTTATCAACTGTAGTTATATAATTGTTTTAGTTTTTCTAAACACTGTATTTTTTTTTTCAATTTTTCTTTTTGCTGCGTCGTAAAGGGCTAAATGAATTTTTAATCTCTACTATTCTGAAAAGAATCGTGCTTTGTTATTGTTATGGGATTCATTAACTGTTGGGGGTATTGTGCTGTGTAATTTTTTGTGCACTTGGTAAAAGTACCTTGCTTGATATTTGTTTTATTGCATTTGCATTATTGCTGATTACTTGGAGCATACTGACTGAACTTTAATGTGTTTTTCTTTTGTTTCACATTACTTTCAGTGGAGAACATTTCAGAAAAGAGCTGACCCCTTCCATACATCATTTAAGACATCTCAGTGGGTTCAATGTGTAGTTGGGGCAAGAGCTAATTTCTCGACACAATCTTTATCTTTGAAAGAACCTGTTGTCTCTGTTGATTGGCTCCATGCAAACCTCGGGGAGCCTGACATGAAGGTACCTGCCAGTTCTTTTTTATAAAAAAGCTTCTCATCAAATTTTTAAGAAGTAGGTCATGCATTTCATTTCATCAGAAGAATTGTTTTTTCATTTGAATTTCTCACACTTATGCAAGAATATTTTGTGCACCCAAAAGATGAATGTAGTTGTATGACAATATTTTTTATTTTGTGGAAGGAATGCTAAAAATGATTCCATTGTTGTCTCTTTGGGAGTCTTAGGATTAAAACCTCATTTTTGGCTAATAGCGAACAATTTTTGCCTCCGTTCAATGAAGAAGCAAAAGAAAAGGCGTCATGATCTTAATTAATTGTTTTTAAGTTTATGTAAATAGGAAATGTTCCTCAATGCCTGTATTAGTAAATTTCACACTTGAGTTATCAAAAGAAATTACACCCTTCATCTCTAAACTGGTCATGTTATTTAATTATCAGTCTATGGTTTCCATTCATCTCATGGAATATCTTATTGTAGTCTAATACATTTGAATCCATTTTAATTGATTTTTTTACATCCTAAACATGGCCACACATCATTCTGTCATGCATTGTTATATTCAGGTGTTGGATGCATCTTGGTACATGCCTGATGAGCAGAGGAATCCAATTCAAGAGTATCAGGTCTGATGACTATGATTTAGTTTTGAATTTGTTTTAATTTGACTATTTTATTGACAATCTAAATTGATCTTAATAATTAATTTTAGGTTAGAATTTCATAAATATTCCACTGAAAATACGCTCTTTTTCTTCTTTTAGTCTTCAAGATATTGATGTTATCTCATTTATTTTCCTTCAATGAATAACCTGGTCTACTAAACTTGCTCCTTACAGGTTGCTCACATTCCTGGTGCCCTGTTCTTTGATGTAGATGGAATAGCAGATCAAACTACAAATGTAAGATGCCCTCTCTTTATTATTTGTTACAAATATTTATAGTTTGGGCCTAGAATTGCTAATGCTTCTTTTCCCCTTTTTTTTCATTTGAATCATCTTTAAGAATGCATTGTATTTTGTCCATATACAAGAACCACCCCTGTTATAGTTCATCTTGTTTACTTCACAAGTGATATTCTATAGTTTATTATTTTAATTATTGATTGTACCTTTTCCATTTTATCCATTTGCTTATCTTGTAAGAACAATTACTTGTATCAGTTGCCACACATGTTGCCATCAGAGGAAGCTTTTGCAGCTGCTGTTTCTGCTCTTGGTATTGAGAATAAAAATGGATTGGTGGTTTATGATGGGAAAGGTATCTTTAGTGCTGCTCGTGTTTGGTGGTAAGTTGTGGGTTTGATAATATGCTGCAGTTTTGTGGAATCTAAGTACTACTTTAATGGTTAACTGTCCATTCTAACATAATTTTGATTAAATGACAAGGATGTTTCGAGTCTTTGGGCATGAAAAGGTCTGGGTGCTAGATGGAGGTCTGCCAAGATGGCGCGCTTCAGGATATGATGTTGAATCTAGTGCTTCTGGTGATGCTATCTTGAAAGCTAGTGCTGCCAGTGAGGCAATAGAGAAAGTATATCAAGGCCAGACAGTAAGTTCGTTACTCACATATATCCATACGTGCTTGCATTGTATTTTTAATAAATAATAGTATGATAGAACATGGCATGAACAAGGTATTTTCAAATTGCTTATGTAGCTTTTCCATCCTTCCTTTTTTTTTTTTATAATTAGAAAAATGAGAATATCAAGAAATGCCCTATTGAACAATCATGCATGTGGATAAATGTATCTGCATGCATGAATGTATATGTTTCTATATCCTGCATGATCTATTTGCAATTTATAATTAAGAGCATATATGATTTGTTCTAATTTCCAAATTTGTAATTTATAAATAACAGCATATATGGACTGTCCTAATTTTCAAACATGTTATGAGAAACTCTAATTGACTGTATGTTTTTATGACAGGTAGGACCAATCACATTTCAAACAAAGTTTCAGCCACATCTTGTCTGGACACTTGAGCAGGTTGGTTGCTATTTTTCAGTTGCTTATGTTCTAATGATAAAATAACAAAGATACATTTTTTTAATCACTCATTAGCGACCTTATAAGGAATATATGTACATTATATTGAATGGCTGGATATGATCATGTAGCTTTGGCATTGGCAATTTGATATAACAACTACATTAGACCATTGACTTAAAGAGCGGTTGATATTCGTTTTACATTTGTAGGCACTTTTGAGAATGCCATAGATAAAACTTATTTCATGCATGTGTGACTTGTGGAGTAAATTGATGAATTAACAATTTTGGCAATAATCTTCTAAGGTAAATAGGGAGGCAGCTCTTAGTCTTTGATGGTGATGATAAAACTGATGGTAATCCCTAAGTTAACAAGTTTGTTCTTTTAGTTAGCAGTGATATCAACATGAATTTTCTAGTTCAATTGAAATTCACTACAACTTTAAATTATTTTTATCACTGTTTTGAGCTCTATGTTAAAAGATCTTAAATTTGGGTATTGAAATCAAGTGGTTTACAATTAAGTTATCTCTAAAGAAATGGGTGAACTTGAATTTGATGATAATGTACCGCAAATCATTCTCACCGTGTAGTGGTAACAGACATCCTATGACATTGCTTGTTGTCAAAGAATTTTGGTCTGAATTCCTCTCCTTGTGAAAGTTGCTTTCTCTATATAGAGACTATTGTGCATTACAAGGCTGAAAACCAGCCATTTCATCGGGCTATACAAGGTAGGAATAAGGCCTATCAATTATATACCTATATACAATATATTTCTATATATAGTAGACTAAATTAGGCCGCACATATTGAGTTGACAATTCTACTAACAACCCCCTCAAATTGATGTTGGGTGATTGAGAAGCATCAATTTGTCAATAAGGTACCAATGGTGAGGATGAGAGAGAGCCTTGGGGAAAACATTAGTGGTTTGGTATTTAGGCTGTGTGTTTGTTTCCCTCGAAGTGGTTTCCTAGAAACCACTTTCCAAACTTTCCTGTGTTTGTTTGCCATTAGGAAAGTTGGTCAACGGAAAACACTTTCCAGTCAAAGAAAAATTTGACTTGGTTTTCAGGGAAGTGTTTTTCTAAAAAATTTGAACGGAAAACTCTTTTTGAAAGTTGTGAAAAATTTATTATTGTTATATTATTTGCTGATTATAGCACATGTGGTCCTCAAACTTTTGATTGCTATATATATTTTGTTTTGAATATTTATTTTTCAATATCAGCTCTTAGAATTTATTTTTTATATTAACTTTGGTCTTCATTTTTATAATTTTTATTTGTTTTTTCCTTATTATTTTTTTATTGAAATTTTTTATCTATAAAATATGGTCCTCATTCTTTGGATTATTACTTATTTTATTTGAAATAATTTATGAAATGTTAATTATTATTATTTTAATTTCTTTATCTTTTATTTTTTTTTATTTTTTAGATTTGATCTCTATTATTTTGATTATTATTTATTTTATTTGAGATAATTTATGAAATTATATTTTTTTTTCAATTTCATTCTCATTCAACTTTTTAATTTGTAAAATTTGTTCCTCACTATTTTAATAAACTTGAGAAAAATAAAACATTAATAAGTTATTTTCCAGCTCATTTTTCATGATATAACCAAATACTGGAAAGTGTTTTTCAACTTATTTTCCATTACACTACCAAACATTAGAAAATAATTCACTTTCACAAAATTTATTTTCTTGGAATTCACTTTCCAAAAGAAAACTATTTTCCAGCAAACAAACGGGGCATTAGTGAAAATGTGTGGAAAAGTAATCTCCCGATGAACCAAGGCTTCACAAATGGAATGACAATTCACTTCAATATGTTTGGTGTGCTAATGAAAAATGAGATTGGTAGCAATCTAAATAGCATGGTATTATCAACATGAAGTGAAGTAAGAGTAAGCTACAAACCACTAACAACTCGTGAAGCCATACAATTTCAAAACAATTAGACAACATAGTTCAATATTTAGACTAAGTAGATGACTTTAAGACAAGAACCAGAACCTACTTCTTACTCTTTCAAGAAATGAGAGCATCACCGAGGAACATATACCAACCCATAACAAAACAATGAGTATCCACACAACCAGTCTAGTCGGCATCATTAAAGCCCTCTAACTGTAAAGAATTCCTTGAAGGGAAGAGCAAGTTGTAACAAGATGTCCCTTTGAGATATTGAAGGAGACAACAGGCAACAACCAAATGTGTCTGGCATAGAGCTTGCATAAATTGATTGATTTGCTAAACAAAAAACAAGATATCAAGTTCAGTAATGGTCAAATAGTTCAAACTACCTGCTAGTTGTCGATACATTGAAGAATCAGAAAAGGGATCACCATTCGCCTTATGTAACTTCAAATTTACCTCTATAGGAGTAAGAACCGAATTATTGTCTTGAAAGCCAGCTAAAGAAAGAAGTTCTTGGGTATACTTATTTTGATGTAAGAGTGTGCCATTCGAACAAGGTTAAACCTCAAGTCCAAGAAAATACCGTAGAGGACCAAGATCTTTCACATGAAAGGAAGATTTGAGGCGCTATTGGAGCTGTTCAATTAACTAGAGATCAGATCTAGTAATCACAATATTATCGACATACACAAGAAGTATAATGATCCCAAGGGTAGTCTTGCGAAAAAATACTAACTCTGAGTGAAGGCAAGATGCAATAGAGTAGCACGAAACTTCTTAAACCATGCTTGTAGCGCTTGCTTCAAACCATACAAAAGACTACTTTAAGATAAAAAAAAACTCAACAAAAGATGAAGGAAACAAGCCAAGAAGAGGACGCATAAATAGTTTTTCCTTTAGGTCACCATGTAAAAATACATTCTTCCCATCCATCTTACGAAGTGACATCCTTTTGAAACAACAATGGCTTAACAATGAGGACAATAGTAATTTAGGCCATAGGAGTAAATGTTCCCTTATAATCAAGCTCATACTCCAATAGGACAAGTGACAATGTCCCAGGTATGATTTTCTATGAGAACCTGAAGTTTGTCCTACATAACTTTGCACTAACACTCTTGAGTATAAGCATGAGAATAAGACCTGGGCACAAAAGTATTATCAAGAGTAGCTTGGAGAGTGAAAAAAAGAAAAACCATACCAATCTAAAGGCTAGGAAACCCTAGTAGATCGGCAGCGCACATGCAATGTAGGATCAATGGCAGTTTAGAGGTAGGAAGAGGTAGCGAGTGACGTTGCTGATACACAATACCTGACTTAAAACGAGGAGTACTAGACATGTCATCAAAAAGAGGAAGATACAAAATTAGGACGAGACAGAAAGAAATATTTATGTTTTTAAAAAAATCACATTGCATTAAATATGAAGCTTGTTAGCCTCTGCATCATAACACGTAAACCCTTTATGAGAGTTACTATAGCCAAAAAAAGCACATTGAACTCAATCTTGTCATCTTTAGTGGTTGGTTAGTGAACAAAACAAACGCTACCAAAAACATGTAGAGAATTATAATCAGGAAGGAGGAAGGACATCAAACAAACGATACTATGGAGATCAAGATGCAAAGTAGAAGAAGACAAATGATTAATCAAATATACAATCGTTGATAAGGCTTCTACTCAAAATCTAGAAGGAACATCAGACTCACACATCAATGTATATCTAAAAATTGGTGATTATGATGCTCAGTGGCACTATTATGTTGAGGGTATAAGGACATGAATGTTGAGAGAAAATACCCTTTAGATAGAGAAAAGATTGAAAAACATGAGACATGTATTCTCCTCCAAAATTTGAGCATAAGATCTTAATTTAGATAGAAAATTAGGCTTTTAAATCAGCAACAAATTTAGAACAAAGAAACTAGACCCATATGAAACGATTATTATTGTCAATAAATGTCACAAAATACCTGTATTGAGCATGAGAAGGAACATCACTTGTATCGTAGGCATCAGAATGAATAATTTCAAAAAATGTAAAAGTGTGACTACCCTACAAAGGAAAATGTAAAGATTTGCTTTTGCCAAGTTTACCAGGAAAGAGAACTTATTTTTATTCTTCAAATAACCATGTTTTATATATTGTGTCAGGATTACAGAGTTGGAATGACTGTATTTGTTATGCCAATATTGGCTATTATTATTAAAAATAGCAGAACAACCAATATAAATTGAATGAGGAATGAAAAATCACTAAAGAGGAAAAAGACATCCCATTATAAGCTCTTTTTGTTGTCTCCTATCCTGACTCTTGATCCCGCGCACAATTGCTACTAGAATGATCAATATGAAGAGAACAATTTTCTTCTACTAATTGTCTAATTGAAATGAGGTTGGCAGATAAATCAGGATACACAAAAACATTAGTAAATGAAGACCCTATATTTTCGATCACTGTAATAGGAAGAGGACTGCCATTGGCGATTTGCATATGCTGCTTACCATCATATTTATGAACATCATGTAAAGTTGCCAAATTGGCAAACATGTGATTGGAAGCCACGATGTATTTGACCTTGGAGACCAAGAGCAAAAATGGCAAAAATAATCATTTGTTGAACGTGTTTGGGAGTTATGTTGGAAGAACCCAAAACAATGGATTGTACAGAAGATGTAGGCAAAAAAGTGGACTAAACAACAATATGAGATTAGTTTTGAGGGCAGGCATGAAAATCCTTAATGACATGACCTTGCAATAATAACATAATTTCTAGCTGCAAAATTTTGCAATGTGTCTAATTTCCTAACAACTATAACACCATGGTGGAGATCTAAATCATCATCTTCCTCGAGTAGTGTAGGCCATATTAACCTTCTCAGAACTACAAGCATTTTGAGCAAGGCCAAGCTGTGAGGCAAGATGTTGTTCTTCACACAAGAGTTCACCTAAGTCAACATCCAAAGATGGGACATGCTGGTGATTGATTAACTTAGCTCGTACATTTTCAATCTCAAGTCATAGCTTCAAGAATTGATCCTACTGGCTCTCAGAATGAACCACTTGTAGTGTTGCTAAAGCTGCTTTGGGAACCTGTGAATGCATCAATCCAAAATAATCATTTTTTAAATTAATAAAACCGAATAAAATAGCTCAATAATTTCCAGTGTCTAATTCCAATTGAAACTTTCAGGCAGAATTATCTTAATAATAAATTCGTCAAAGGTAATCTAACATTGTCTTAACAGTAGTGAACCCAAGAATATTGTTGACTATATGAGGTTCAACAGAACTTAATAGCCAGGTAGCATTTTGGCATCCCTGCTTTCCCATGAATTAAGTTCCTTGGGATCAATGGGAGCTGTAGAAGACCAATCCAAATGACCCCCATAACTCCCCTTCCACAAACATATAGATTTGGAATTCCTATCTAGCTTAATTCTTGCTAGTAAATCGAACAATAGAATTTTCTCCTAACATAATAACCACAAAAAATTGATAGAAAAAAAAATCATCATAGCTACATGACCTGCTGATAGCCACCAAACCAAAGACGACTGAAACTCTAAACTAGATAAGCACCACACCATCGAGAAACCAAGAGACAATTGACAACCAAGAGACAGCTAAGAACTCCACAATAAAAAACTGAACCTCCAAGCCAGAGAACCACTTCTGCCAATACCCAAAAAAAAATATTGAAGTTCTGCTCTCTGTCGCTACCCACAGAAAAGTACCAGAAAAGAAACAAGGAACCAAAAATAAATAAATTCAGCCAAGAATGCTATGAAGAGAATTTGGGGTTCTGATTCCATGCTAAAGAAGGTTTTGATCTGAATACCTGTTCTTGTGAGAGTTGCCTTCCTTGTATAGAGACCATCACACATTACAGGGCTGAAATCAGTCATCAAGTTAAGAATAAAGCCTATCAATTATATGCCTATATACAATATATATTTCTATATTAGCTAGACTAAATAAGATAGCATATATTGAGCCATCAATTCTGCTTATACTTGTGAACTTTTTGTAGGTACTGGAATCAAACATTGAGTTATTTGTGAAATTAAATTAACATTTGTTTGGAATGATATAAACGTGTATCAGCTTGACATCAGGACAGCACTGAAACAAATTCGAAATTATAATGGAGTTTCTCCTTGATAAGTCTTGCATTCATTCTTCCATTCCTTCGAGTAAAAAGGTTGACAAGTTTGTGCGGATTTTAGCTGGTGTCTTATTTGGTGTGGCCATGGATAAACTTTTAGCTTCTGCAACCATCTAATATGTCAGCAATCAGCAAAATTTAGTTATCTGCTTGACTTATGTAGTCCTCAAAACATGAATGAATCTGCACTATGCTTTCTCCGGGCCAATTTTCAGGTTAAAAGTAATATTGAAGACAGGACTCATCAACACATAGATGCTCGTTCAAAGGCCAGGTAAGTTCAGTGATTTTGTTTAATTGTATTAATGATAAATGGTTTTCATATTGTGAATGCATTATTGTTATCTTAGTAGAATAATTAATCTGAATCTTCTTAATAATAAATGGCTTTCCCTGGAAATGCTATTGAATGATGCATTTGAGGTTTAGCTATTCTCTTAGTTTGGACTTTGTAGATTAGTAGGAAAGTATAAATAACAAAACACCATCACTAGTTTTAATTGATAGAAGTGTATGATAAAGTTTCAAGTAGGGTTTTAAGTATTATCTTGCTAGTTAACGTGCTTTCAACTTCCCTACACTTTAAACTCTGGTATGTAATCCGATCTGGCGATTCATGTCAGTTTATGTAGCCTAACAGCCGTCACGGCCTTTGTCTCTTTGTAGGCTAACTTTCCAGACTCCCCCATCCATTCAATCTGCTCACTTAAATTGAATCATCTAACAATATCTTACCAACTTTAAACTAAAATCTCTACTTTTACTTCAAATATCAACATTCGACTCTTCCTATCATCAAGGACATATGCTCTTCTTGCAGGTTTGATGGCGCTGCTCCAGAACCTCGAAAGGGAATAAAAAGTGGCCATGTTCCTGGCAGCAAGTGCATTCCATTTGCGCAAGTAACAGATAGACATTACTGTGTTCTTTTAAACTAATGATTATTTTTTAAGCTGACAGGTGGTTCTCTCTATTTTCCTTTTTCTTCATTAGCGTGTTTGTTTTTGCAGCTGTTAGATTCTTCACAGACACTCTTACCAGCAGATGAGCTTAAAAAACGATTTGATCAAGAAGGTAAGGAAGAACCTTTATGTTTCTGGGTGCCTGCCTAAAAACATTATTTCCACATATCATGACCATACATATCGGCATTGCACATTTAGATGAAGTCCATATCTCAGAATATGAAATGGATTTTTTTTTTTTTCATGGTTTGGTTTTTTTTTTTTTTTCATGGTTTGGTTTTTTTTTTTTTTTCATGGATTGGCTTTTTTCTTTTTAGCTGATCAAATGGAGGTTTGTTAGGTTTCTAAGAAAAAAAGTGATTAAAAAAAGGAAAACATAATTGTTATTTGTCAGAGTTTTCTTATTTCTGCCTATATAATAAGACATGATGGAAAAACTGTACTTTAGCTGTCAGCATTCAGCTTTACTATCTAGTCATTATCTTACATTATGCTCCTAGAGTATATTTTTGTTTGCTAATCTTTGGTTATTTGGTATCTGCTCAAGGTTTAGTGGATCTGACACAGTTTTATACAGGCATCTCTTTGGAAAGCCCTGTTGTTACTTCATGCGGGACTGGTGTAACTGCTTGCATTCTTGCTCTGGTATTTATCCTTCCTATGCATTACAATCCATCCTGAAAAATTTCATGAAAGTTTTTCCACTATGATGTTGAACCTCGTGAGTGGAAAACCACGAAGCTCAAATTCTTGATTCGTGTTTTGCATTTTCGGGAAAATTGTTGGCATAAATATTGTCCGATCTTGTTAAAGTGCAAATGACTCTGGCTCGTGTCTTTCAGGGTCTCCATCGACTTGGAAAGTCAGATGTTGCAGTCTATGATGGATCTTGGACTGAATGGGGAGCTAATCCTGAGACACCTGTCGACTCTTCATAAATCTTACTAATGCATCAGATTTCATGCATGGCGTGAAGTTTTCCTGTTAAGTACGCAGATTGTGATGAAAGATGTGGTGCCTAAAACAGTTGGATATAAGAGTTGCATTTTTATTTTTTTTTCATTTGTCAATTTTGAAGTTTTAACTTGCATTTCGTGCTCCAAAACATTGGCATCAAAATAAGAATAGAATAAAAGAGTTCTGAAGGAGAAATTGATTTTAAATCAATCCCTCTCTCTCCTAATTAAACTATGAATAGTCCGATTATATATCACTACCTTTAATACATGTTAATAGCTAGCTAGCTGTAATTTTCTTTTGAAAAACCCAAAAGCACTTTTAGTAATCCATGGAATGCTCTCTCTATGTATAGCGAGTATTTGTAGGGTACTTTAATCATCTATCTCATATAAAACTTTCAACTTTCAAATAATATGGCATTGCAAGCACATTTAATGACAAATATGTTGCAATTTATAACAAAAGCTAGAAAATAAGGGTATTTAAAACGCTACGTGTACTTCTATAAACCTCTAACCGTAGAGAAAACTGTTTTTTATCTTTTGAATTTAATAATAATAATAATATATTTTAAAAATTAAGTATAAATTGTTTAAATAGTGTTTGAAATTAAATCAATTTATATTAAATTAAATAATGATAAGTGATAAAAATAAAAATAAAAATAGTATCTTTTAGATCTATTCTAGAGAATTTTTCAAAACCCACTAAGTTGATCTTTAAAATATTTAGATAAAATTTAGGTATTGTTTAAGGATAAAATTTAAAATTATGTTTAAAATTTAGGTATTGTTTAATGATAAAATTCAAAATTATGTTTGTTTTTGTTAAAATTATCATTTAACAAATTTAAACTTCTTAAGTATTTTCCTTATCTTTATAGCCTATCAATATATCTACTTGATATTTACATTAGTCATTTCCACCTACAAAAGACTCGACGTTGAGTCAATATTTAAATTTCAATATAATTGTTCATAATTATAATAAGGATAAATATTAGAAATATAAGGTCTTAGAAATATTTATATTGTTTGACAGATTAACAATAAGAGCATGATATTTATTTTTCTTATTATTATATTTTTTTTTATTGTAGCGTGTTATACATAGAATAGTGTAGATAACATGTCGCCTAATACTATTATTTTCTTTCTCTAAACTCAGAAAAGTTATTTGAAAAGCCTTTTTTTAGAATTATTTAATGCACCATTCACACCTCAAATAAAATGATAAAGATACCCTCTGATAAAGCTCAACCTATAATACATTCTCAACTATATTTCCATTGATTTTTCACCAAAAAACAACTAAAAAATTGACCCAAAGATGCTGACCCGATCAACTTTACAACCTATTTTTTATAGCCCAAGGTATTGTTTTCTAGCCAATAATTGAGATCCTTCTTATGAGAATCAAGGGCCAGGATTCATGCTTAATAAAGATCATATGTCCCTGAATTTTATGTATAAAAAATGAGAAAATCAAGTGGAAAGGTAGCTAAAAAACCAGTCCTTACACACTATTTTTTCAGCTACCCAACTAGCAACCTTTATCCCTCTCCAGCAACTACTATGAGCCACCAGCATCTTTGAAAGTGCCACCATCGGACAATCAATAGCCACCTCTCACCGAGGTAAGCTTATTCTATCCCTTTTGATTCATTACATAATGTTTTGCATAGACTAAAGTGAGTGCAACTCATTTTTTTTTGACAATTTTATTACTAAGAAAATTTTATCACTAGCTTTACACCCTTAAGCCAGCCTAGCCATTAAGCTAGGTCCAGCTCATATTAAATGGGAAAAAAAAATAGGTTGGGTTGGACCCTCGCCAAACCCATGTGCATGGCTTAGGGCCTTAGGCCCAATAGACCATGCTCATGTAGTTGGTCAATCCTAACTCAAAAGCTAGGTGCGTATTTGGCTCGTGTCAATTTTATTAAGAAAATAAAGCTTTATTTGGGTCCATAAAGCATGTTTACCAAACATAGCCTTAAGGTATTTTTAATGTCTTTGAGTTTAGGCTAAGGGTGTGTTTCACAAACTCATTATAAAGTTTTTCCTTCAGTTTTAATTTGTCCTTATTTTAAGATCTTGTCAAATAGGCCCTTTAAAATTTCAAAAACAATTGTAAAAAATTCAAGGCATTAATTTTATCTAATATTGGGCTTTATACTTACACTGTGAGCTACAAACTTAATATTAAAAATACCTTATTTTTCTTCCAAAATTTCAAAAAAAAAATCCAAAATAATTGCCTTGTTTTTTTAAAAAAAAAATACACAAAATATATATTTCTTCAAGAATTTCACTTAATATTAAATTATAGACTTACACTATAAGATATGAACTAAATATTAAAAATCCATGGTTTTCAACAAAATCTCAAAAAAAATCCTCATTTCAAAAGTATATAAAAATATCTTTTGTTTTTTTTTATATACTACCAAATTCTAAAGTTTTTTCATACATATTTTCTTTAAAAAAAATAAATTTTTATCATGTTTTAAAAGTTTAAAATAAATATCATAACCAATTTATAATTATCCATTAGGATTTGAGAAAATTTTCAAAATTAACAAAAAAATAAT